GATGGAGTTGCATCAGCAGAGACCCTACCAAACAGGTAAGTGATGCACATTTCACTGGCTCCCTCGTGTTCATTTTCTGAATTCAGCTTTGCAGCCACAGGTTTATGAAGGTGTATCTCTCCCAACGTCCCCCCCTTCCTCCTTCTTATACACTGAGCATGATGTCCCATGGCATGAATGTCCCTGTGGCCAGCTGGGGTCAGCTGTCCTGGCTGTGTCCCCTCTCGACTCCTTGTGTGCACCCCCAGCCTGCTCCTGGTGGAGTGGTGTGAGGAGCAGGAAAGGCCTTGAGGCCGTGTGAGCCCTGCTCAGCAGTAGCTAAAACACCCCGCTATTATCAACACTGTTTTCAGTACAAATCCAAAACATAGCCCTGGACCAGCTACTATGAAGAAAATTAACTCAATCCCAGCCAAAACCAGCACACCCAACAGCTACTTTTTTTTAATTCTACAATCATCACGCAGACTAGGACCTACACTTTGAGGTGTTTTATTCTTACAGCATTTAACAACTAAATTGCCTTTAAACTATTCAGAGCATATATGCAAAAGTTTACATTTTTTCTTAACAAAAGCTTTTTTTTTTTTTTCAGTTCAATTAACTGATTACTGCTGATGAAACATAATGCACATTTCAATTGCTGTAGCTTGAAGATGGATGTTAAACAATCTGTTTTCTAAGTTGAACTGAATGTAATATTCTGAGTTTGAATCTTCCAAATTGCTCCTCTTTTCTCACACTTGGTGTTTCATTGGTGTTGTTCTCTCTTACCTTTTTAAATGAATTTTGTTAGTTTTAACATGCTCCTCTGTACCCAGTGTGGTCTGTGGGTAGGCATCAGAGCTTTAACCTATATACATATTAAAAAGCCATTCTTATATGCCTTGCCATAATTATGGGTCCTCTTAAAGAGAGTGGTTTTTTCCTAAAACAGCTTTTGTTGTTGAGTCTCTTACACGGTCTGTGGGCAAGTTTGCTGGAAATAAATATGCTGATGGGAGAGGAGATGGACTGGTCCAAGGCAGGAGGCAAATCTGTGAGACTGGGTACTCAGCAAATACGAAACTGTTGGCTGGAGGGTTTATCTCCAAAAGACTGTCTTTGTGAAGGGGTTGCTAGACAAGCATGTAGCTGCATGTCCCCAGTACATGGACTGTTCCCTAGAGCCACAGGCAAACAGAAGAAGCCATGGGGACAGAAGGTCCCCTCCTCCTCCTGCTTGGGTCACTCCACGCAGGGAAACACCCATCTGGGCTCCTGGACGTTTTTTAACTCTCTCTGAGAACGTAGTAGCAGGGCAAGAAGCTGACCTGGGTAGGGTGGTCATTGTACCCTGGCACCTGAGTCCCCCTCCTCTCCTTGGAAATTCTAGTATGACCAGGTCACCCTAGGGTGCCTGAGGGAACGGGAACATGAACAGCATCCCACAGAGCAGTGGGACAGCTAGACTTACAAACCAAGGGATCTTTGGTACCATGGGAAAGGGACTGTATCCGTACTAGTAGGAAGCCAGCTATCATGAGGGAAGATGGGTTTAAACTGAAAGAGGAGAGATTTAGACAAGATATTAGGATGAAATTCTTTGCTGTGAGGGTGGTGAGAGCCTGGCCCAGGTTGCCCAGAGAAGCTGTGGCTGCCCCATCCCTGGAGGGGTCCAAGGCCAGGCTGGATGGGGCTTTGAGCAACCTGGTCTGGTGGGAGGTGTCCCTGCCCAGGGCAGGGGGTTGGAACTCAATGATCTTGAAGGTCCCTTCCAACCCAAACCACTCTATGATCCCATGATTATGTTCATTTGCTGCTGGAAAAGATCTGTGATGAAGAGCCTTTGACAGAGCTGTTTCTCCTCCTTCCCTCAGCTGCTTCTTCCAATGGCTCAGCCCCTACAGACCTGCTGGTGCAACTGTTTGCGGTCGACTGCTGTGAGCAAGGACCACAACTGAGCCAAGGTAAAGCAAAAATACTCTTTTCTCATTAGCTGGTGCCCTGATTGATAACTGCCCCCAAAATGACTGTGTTGGTGTGAATTCAGGGGCTGTACTCTGTGACACGGGCTTTGTTTCCAAGACTGGAAACTCTGCAGTGTGACACAGCCACCAGAGCCCAGATGTTTGAAGGATGCCTTCAGACTGTGGAAACCCACGGGAAAAGTTCTGATCTGTGTTATATATGCTCAAAGTTTATAAATCTCTTCTACTTATTTAAATTTTACTTCCATGATAGTGGAAATAATTCCTTATGATAAATTAGCGAGTTGGAGATGTTTTCAATAATGCAATATTACAAAAAATCAACGTAACTCTTCTGCTGTCTAGGTAAATGACAACTAAGAGTCAGTATTAGATACAGAACTGTAAACTCTGATTTTTCTATCCATTGATCCCAAAAATGATGCTTTGCCTTCAACATACAGAAATCCCTGAGATATGATTACACTGTACAGCTATTCCTGGGGTGAGCAGAGTTGCTGTATATGGAGGACTTGAAAAGTGTGAGGAAAAAAGAGGAGTTCTGATAACAGGGAGGGGAAGAAGTGGAAAAGAGGGCACGAAAGGCGCGGGGAAGGAGGGCAAGGCAAAGGGAGGCAAAAGAGCTTTGAATGTCTAAGAAGGAGAAAGACACCAGCTGAGGGAAAGGAGTAGGGAATCATTAGGAAATGACACAGCAAGTCATTCATCATAAGCATTTGTAGCCAAGTAGATGAGTGACACAGAAGCTAATATTCTGGGGGCTTTGGGAGGTAAAACAGTTTATTTTCAGGAACAAAACCCTTCTGTTCCTGTGCTGGCTGCTGCCAGGCACCAGGAAATGTGTCAGAAGGTGACCCCAGAGGGGCACCCCACCTGAGACCCCACCTAGGTATTGCCTTTAGCTCCCTGATGGCCCAGTGCAGGTGGCATCCAGCTCCTACCTGCTCCCACCAGAGCTGGCAGGAGATGCTCACAGCAGAGCTAAAAATTCCTGGAAAAATAACCTACAAATCTCTGCCCCCCAGGCACAGAAATGTTAAATAAAATAAAAACGTATGGGCTGAACCTCTGTCAAAGCCCAAAGCCTGTCCCAGGGAAGCTCTGCGCCCCACTCCCATCCCTGGTACAGCTGGCTTTAGCGGATGCCAAAATAATTTTGGGGGCAAAAGCTGGAGTCTGTGGTGCCGGGGGAGGATGAACTCAGAGCCCTGCAGAGGCAGAGGGGGGAGACTTTTATCCTAAAGTCATTGTAAAGCCAAAGCGGGGTTTATCCTCCACAGCTAAATGAAAACCAAAAGGGGAAAAAAAAGAAAAATCCAGAATAGCAACATTGGAGATACAAAGACTGTCATGGACCAGTGCGAGTTTGCAAAATTATATGTAAATGACCCCATTTTTGACCATGGTGGCCCTCTGCTAATCCCAGAGAGAAAATCTACTTAGCGAAGGGAAGTTTTGTTTAATTTGGTTAACAGGGACCAAAACGCTGAATATATTAATAATTTATATTTCCAGGGAAACGCTGTATCTTCCGTGCTTCAATGCCAAAAGGGGGGTTCACAAGAGCTTAATGCTCGCGGAATAAAAAATCCTGTCGGATTTTGTCCGTATCCCGCACCCAGCGCTGGTGTAGGACGTGTGTCCTCACAATAGGCACCAGCCCTGGGGCTGCTGAGTGCCTTGGGCTCATCCCCTGGTGCTCTTGGCCTGCTCTGAGCAAGAAGAGAGAGGTTCCCCCAGGATTTACCACCCTAAAAGGTGTCCCGAGGAAAATGAGGGGTGTTTTTCCCCCACTTTTCTGCCTAAATCATGATGTTATCCCCCCCTCTCCGGCCCCGTGTGACCTTTTCCCCACTAATCTGAAATAGCAGCTTTTTCCTGTGTTTACAGGTTAAATGGAAGATACACATTCTGCTTTTTCCTCATTGTAAGGAAGATCTTTTTTTGTCCGTCTCCGCATAAAGGGTCGGGCTGGTTTACAAATTGCGGGTCAGCCCGTTCCGTGACCTGGGCAAACAACCCGGGTCAAACCTCCTCAAAAGCCTCCCCACCCAACTGGAATAAGTTAATTTACCCCATCAGGCGGCTCCGACCCCGCCGGGCGAACCCGGGGGATGGATGGATGGATGGATGGATGGATGGATGGATGGGTGGATGGATGGATGGATGGATGGGGTCCCCCTACCCTCCTGCCAGCGGTGCGGGGACACCTGGGGACACTTGGGGTTGGGGTAGGACCGAAATTGCGCTGTTAGGCAGGGGAGGAGGGAGCCGAAGTCTCGAAGGACTTGCTCTCAACAGCTTTTATGGGGTGTAGCCGTTTATTTGGTTGGACTAGATGGCTTTTAAAGCTCCTTTCCGACCCAAACTGCTCTATGATTCCGTGATTCTATGATTCCATGATTATTCTCGGCGCCCTGCGCCTCCGCGGCCGCCCCCCCCCTTCTCCGCCCCGTCCTGCGCCTTCCCCCTTCATCCTTCCTCCCCTGCTCAGGCTGCGCCGCCGGGAGAATTCGCTGGGGGAAAAAAATAATAATTAAATCCCCAGGGGAAATCCCGGTGCCTTTCGGACCCGTGTCCCTGGGAGCATCTCCCGCCCCCACCTCCTCCTCCACGGGGTTGCGGGGAAAGGGGGGGGGCGGCGACATTCCCCCACCCCTCGGGGGCGTCCCCGGGGTTCATCCCTGCGGCTCTCCCGACCCCAGCCCCTGGGTGCCATCCCACCGCCTTCCTCTCGTGGTTTTTTGGGTATTTTTTTTTTTTTCCCCTGGGTGGAGTAAAGGGGAGACCCCCACCACCCCCCGAAACAAGAAGGGGCGGGGGATATAAACATTAATAACATTTATTCCAAGGCATCGCTTGTACAGGCACCGCACCCGGAGGTGGGAAGAGGAGCCGGGGGGGGCAGATCCAGGCCCCCGGAGAGGGGTCCCCCCCCTGCACCTTCCCCCCGGGCGCAGCGTCCGCGGTCATAAATAGGATATTTTTTTGTTGCGGGGGGGTGGGATGGAGGAAGGGGGCGAAGAGTCTCTATAGCATGGAGGGGTGCTGGCCCGGGGGCAAGCCGAAGGCGTTGGGGTGGGAATGGCCGAGGAGGTTGAGGTAGTGGCGGTCCAGCCCCTGGACGGAGGAGAGGAAGGTGCTGCGCTGCTGGCCGGGGCTGCCCAGGGGGACGGCGGCGTTGGGGAGGTGGTAGGGCAGGGGGGGGCTGCGGGAAGCGCCGTGCCAAGGGAAAGCCCCCCCCGGGGGCGGCTGGAGCACGGTCTCGCCGGGACACTCGGGTCCGGGATGCAGCGGGTAGGAAAAGTCCGGCTCCGGGAGGGAGCCCAGGGAGGTGAAGAGGGGCTCGGTGACGAAGCGGGCTTTGGACTGGAGGAAAGCCAGGATGCGGGCGTATTTGGTGTCTTTGGTCTCCATCCTCTCCACCGTGGTCAGGTAGTGGACCAGGTTCTTCATGCACTCGTGGTAGCCGTAGTGGAAGTAGTTGGCGAACTCGGAGAGCAGCTCTGCTGGAAAGGAAAAGGGCAGCGGGGGCGAGTTCCTCAGGGTCCGGCCTCGGGAAGGATAGGGTGGGGTTGGGGACACCCCCACGCCTCGGGTGTCCGCGCCCGCCCACCTACCCTTCTCCCGGCCGCGGGGGAAGTCCGCCGAGTGCAGGGCCCGCAGGTACTGCACCGTCATCTCCAGGATCTCCGCTTTCTCCAGCTTCCCCGAGCTCTGCAACAAGCCGGGGTTGGGGTCATGACTTCTCCCTTGCGGTTTCCCCCCTCCCCAACACCCCCCCCTCCTCGATTTATACCGGGGAGAGCCCACCTTCACCCACCCCCCCCCGCCTACCTGCTTGGCCAGAGCCATGGGCACCGTCTTCCCCAGCTCGGTGAGGCAGCGGTTGATGCGGTCCCTCCTCCGCTTCTCGATCACCTTGTGGGACACCGGCGTCCTCTGCAAAAATAGATATGGGGAGCCCATTAGTGGGGAGGGGAAATGGAAGGGAAGGGGGGGACAAAGCAGCCGGAGCAGCACCCCCCCTCCTCATCCTCCCCGTCCCGGTCCCGACCCCTCCGGGGCAACCGGTCCCCAGGCGCGACGCGACCCCGGGGAAGGGATGGATGCTCCGGCGGCGGGTCCTCTCTGCGCCGCAAGCCCCCCGCCATCACCATCACCATCCCCGGGGGGGCTCCCCTTCTGCTCTGTCGGCCCCGTCTTGGGGTATAATTTTGGGGTTGGGGGTTTTGGTTTTTCGTGGGGGTGAGCTTTTTTTGAAGGGAAAAGGCGGCGAAGGTGCCGGGGCGCGCAGAGCCGTGCGCGCAAAAGCCGGGCGAGGACTCACCCTCCGCTCCTTGAGCTTGGAGGCCATGGTTGGTGCCACTGCCTCCCGCTTCTCTCCGGACCCCTTTATAAAGCCATCACTTCTTAGGGGGGACCCCGGGGGGATAGAAGAAGGGGGGAGGGATGGGGGTGAACGCTGATCCCATAGGATTAAGGGGCGAGCGGCGCCGGGGGGGTGTGTATGTGTGTGTGTAGGGGGGGGTGTGGTGTGGTGGGGGAAATGTATGCATTAAAGCTGAGGAGGGGATTGGGTTGGTGGGGTTTGTCGGGTCCAAGGGAAAGCCCCCCCCGGGGGCGGCTGGAGCACGGTCTCGCCGGGACACTCGGGTCCGGGATGCAGCGGGTAGGAAAAGTCCGGCTCCGGGAGGGAGCCCAGGGAGGTGAAGAGGGGCTCGGTGACGAAGCGGGCTTTGGACTGGAGGAAAGCCAGGATGCGGGCGTATTTGGTGTCTTTGGTCTCCATCCTCTCCACCGTGGTCAGGTAGTGGACCAGGTTCTTCATGCACTCGTGGTAGCCGTAGTGGAAGTAGTTGGCGAACTCGGAGAGCAGCTCTGCTGGAAAGGAAAAGGGCAGCGGGGGCGAGTTCCTCAGGGTCCGGCCTCGGGAAGGATAGGGTGGGGTTGGGGACACCCCCACGCCTCGGGTGTCCGCGCCCGCCCACCTACCCTTCTCCCGGCCGCGGGGGAAGTCCGCCGAGTGCAGGGCCCGCAGGTACTGCACCGTCATCTCCAGGATCTCCGCTTTCTCCAGCTTCCCCGAGCTCTGCAACAAGCCGGGGTTGGGGTCATGACTTCTCCCTTGCGGTTTCCCCCCTCCCCAACACCCCCCCCTCCTCGATTTATACCGGGGAGAGCCCACCTTCACCCCCCCCCCCCTACCTGCTTGGCCAGAGCCATGGGCACCGTCTTCCCCAGCTCGGTGAGGCAGCGGTTGATGCGGTCCCTCCTCCGCTTCTCGATCACCTTGTGGGACACCGGCGTCCTCTGCAAAAATAGATATGGGGAGCCCATTAGTGGGGAGGGGAAATGGAAGGGAAGGGGGGGACAAAGCAGCCGGAGCAGCACCCCCCCTCCTCATCCTCCCCGTCCCGGTCCCGACCCCTCCGGGGCAACCGGTCCCCAGGCGCGACGCGACCCCGGGGAAGGGATGGATGCTCCGGCGGCGGGTCCTCTCTGCGCCGCAAGCCCCCCGCCATCACCATCACCATCCCCGGGGGGCTCCCCTTCTGCTCTGTCGGCCCCGTCTTGGGGTATAATTTTGGGGTTGGGGGTTTTGGTTTTTCGTGGGGGTGAGCTTTTTTTGAAGGGAAAAGGCGGCGAAGGTGCCGGGGCGCGCAGAGCCGTGCGCGCAAAAGCCGGGCGAGGACTCACCCTCCGCTCCTTGAGCTTGGAGGCCATGGTTGGTGCCACTGCCTCCCGCTTCTCTCCGGACCCCTTTATAAAGCCATCACTTCTTAGGGGGGACCCCGGGGGGATAGAAGAAGGGGGGAGGGATGGGGGTGAACGCTGATCCCATAGGATTAAGGGGCGAGCGGCGCCGGGGGGGTGTGTATGTGTGTGTGTAGGGGGGGGTGTGGTGTGGTGGGGGAAATGTATGCATTAAAGCTGAGGAGGGGATTGGGTTGGTGGGGTTTGTCGGGTGGGTTTTGTGTTTTTTCTTCTCTCTTCTTCTTACGGGGGGCTGCCCAGCTGTTGTCCCCCCACGTGGAGCCGGGGGGGGACACACGTGATGGTGCCACAATAGCGGCGGGGATGGGGACGGGG